GAGAATTACGTTTATTAACACTTTATGGATGACCTGATTAAACAACTTCATTTTTGTGTGTGGTTGTGTAGGGGATGTGAGTGTAAGAGATGATTAAACCAAGGAATATTTTGTGGTTGTGTTGCCTGGAATTGAAGTTGATTTGCTTGGAAGGAAAGTAGATTTGTATGGTTTACTAAATGTCCTTGCATTAATTTCATTCAATTCTGCATTAAGTTCTATCACCAGGCACTAAGTTTCCTATAATTGATTTGCCTAGAACTGCTGGTATGTTCTATTGTAGCACTAAACCAAAATACTTTGAATTGTGTAGTGTTTCTGTTGTCTGGTTCAAGGTCAGTTTTCCAAACAGTAGAGTAACCTGGGAGAGAGCTTGCTTTATGTGAACAAAAGTATAGGTAGAATAATTATAAAAAGAGCCATGAAATTTTTCTATACACTGTCATCCTGCTCTTGAAATATGTGGGCTAGTCTTAAAGGATCCACAACTTCTGAATTGCATATTGCTCCTTCGTTCTTTAACTTTCAGGTTCTGAAAGCTGTAGATGAGCTGAACAAGGATTCAACAATTCATGGCATTATTGTTCAGCTTCCACCTGATTCTGAAAACCCAGTTGATCCCGCAATTTGTACTAACGCTGTGACTCCAGAAAAGGATGTAGATGGGTGAGGTTTTCCCGTCAAAGTGCGCTCCATAGATATTACTCTAATTTCCTTTATTACCGAATCTCTGCCCTTCTGGATTTATGAAGCATTTATAGCTACATGGCCTGAAAGGATATTGTGAGAATGTTTACCAGGAATGATAAAGGCTTACACCTTAGAATTCAGTAAATCATGTAAAATGTACTTGATTTATGTATGTGTATTTCTGGGTCACATCTCCTACATGTATTACAGAAGCCAAAAAAATTAAACTAGGGCTCTTTCGTTTCTTTGAGTTTCTGTCTTTGTAAGTCGACTTTTTTTGTTAGGGGGGATGGGGAGAGAAGGTGGGGCTAGAGGACAGGTTCAATGATCTCCCCTGTGAAGTTTATACTGAGAGTACTCTAGGGGTGTGCTTTGTTTCATAGGTGCCTTATGTCTGGGCCAGAGCTTCTTTGTTTTCTTGTCTGTTTGATTATCATAAAGACAAGTTGTCATAGCATCTTGAATTGTGTACAAAAGACAACATCTGTTTCATACTTGTGATTCTTTTGAGAAAATTCATTTGTTATCCTTGTTCTCATTAAATCATTCATCTATTTTTTTCATTTCATTCTATTTTTTTTTTTTATGGCATTGTAATGTTAACATGTCATTTTGCTTTAAAGGTTGCATGATATCAATGCAGGAAAGTTGTCCAGAGGAGAGTTGGATGATTGTATTGTGCCATGCACTCCCAGGGGCTGCTTGGAGTTGATTAAAAAATCAGGTGAGTGTCATTTGTCAATTGCAAATATTTCAAGGAATTTATCAC